TAGGAATTTCCATGTGACTCTAGCTTAATAAGCTGAAGTTCTGGAGAGAAAGCTGGAATAGGGGTTTCTCCTTTAGCTGTTTTTTGGTGTCTTTGACACCTCGATCTTCTAGACTTCATTCTTTACTTCCAATTTGGCAGTACCTTTCCAAGACTCCATAAAACTAAATAACATCCAGGCTTTCCAGAGGAATTTGTGGATCTCACTATACTATGCTATGAATATATCAATTTTGCAACTCTGATTTGTAGTGATTCTGAATTTCAGTGATTCTGTTTTTTAATACTGAGACAATGGACAGTCTCATGTATTAGCACCAATTTCACAAAGCCAGATGCCTGAAACTTCAAATTAAATATGAGAAGCTATTTGCTTTTTTAATCTCATCAATATATTTCTCTTAGTCTGATTTTATGTCTTTATTTTAATGTTTCATCTTCTTTTTGCCTTCCTTCCATAGGGGCAGAGAGGAAATTTGCCTCTGTTCACTCTGGGTTCATTGTCTAATTGAGCAATCAAAAAGATAAGAAGGAGAAAAGAACACATTTAATTACACATACATAGAGAACCTGTATGGATTAAATCAAATGGAACAGAATGATCTATCCTGAGCTAAAAGACCAGATCTTCTGGAGTGGCATGTTTTCCCTGCTATAAAATTCCCTACTATAGAAAGATTATTTCCTAATTAGGAAAGATCCTAATTCTGGGTGGTACTCCTAATTTTCATTCTGTAGGTTAGTTAAGGGAGTGGTAGAAGTTTCTCATGATCCTGCTGGCCTTTATTTCATTCAGCCCAAAATAATCCATGAACCAACGTGATAAATTTTAGGAAGGTCTATTTGTGATCATCTTGGAGGGGCTGTTTTTCATTCCTGAAATTTACTGCTAACGGCTTTACGATCTGCCCAGTTAGTATCAGGACCTCAGTGGGTAGTCGGTGGCTTGAGCAGAGATGATAGTTATCAGTGTCCAGTTGCAAAATGTCTGCCATGTCCTCACTCAATTTTCTCAGCTACAGAAAAAAGCAACTGGGTTTTTAATAAACACCAATGACCTCCTCTCCACTTTACACTTGAGTTACAGCTTGTCTTTCTATGGCTTTTGCTCCACTGGGTCTCTTGATCATTTTAGTTTGAATTTTACTTGCCTGAGTCACAGTAAAAAAATCATAGGCTTATGAGGCTCTGAGGAGTATTTTATTATTATTAGATAAGATGTTTCCCTCTGGCATATAGCATTTAATTTTAAGACTTTAAGTTGGCTAACTCTTGTGACAAGGTGACTTCTGTGAAGCCATTTTAAAATGGAGCCAGGGAGCTATTACAGAGAAATTGCATTACCTATTTCCTTGAACTGGGTCAAAGTCCTTTGAACTGGGCCAAAAACATTTGTTTCAAGAAGCCATAAAGCAAACCATCATCTGAGAACTGATGATTATGAATTTTTAGCTGCAAGAATCAGTTCCCTTGTCATGCTTTCTAGAGAACTAGTAACATCTGTATAGTCAAGGATAGTTTAAGCTTGTTAACATTAACCAATTATTTTCTTTTTTCTCTTTCTACATTTCATTTATTTATTTTTTAAAGATTTATTTATGCATGCACAACTGGGGTACAGGCCAGAGATGCAGAGGCGGTGAGAGGCTTCAGCAGAGACAGAGTGGGGAGCAGAATAGGTGGACTGACGAAGTACACTGCTGAGGGGAGCAGCAGGCGGGTCAGGAGAGGTCTGCTGCGTCATGTGGGTCACCTTTGGGGCGGGGATTGAGCTCATGTTGAAGTGGCTTTAGGTTCTTAGTACTGTGCTTTACCCTGCTGTGCCACCAGGGAGGGCCTCTACATTTTATTTTTTAAAGACTTATTTATTTACACTTACAACTGGGGTGCAGGTCAGAAATGTGGAGGGTGAGAAGATTCACCAGAGACATAGTAAGGAGCAGAACAGGTAGATCCAGTGAAATACACTGCTGAGGGGAGCAGCGGCAGGGGAGTAGGGTAGGGGTTCAGGAGAGGACTGCTGCACCATGTGGGTCACCTCCTTGGCCAGGGATAGAACTCGTACTGCAGTGGCTGCTCAAAGCTTCATAGTGCTGTGCTTTAACCCATTGTGCCACTGGGGATGGCCCTCTTTCTACATTTTAAAACAACAGGTTTATTGGGAAAAGGAGAAAGGAGAGAGGCTCTTATATAGTAATTGGTGGGCAGAGAGACCCAACTTTTCTTTAACCACTTACCTCATTTCACCTTTTTCCTCCCATAAAGAAAATACCTGGTAGTGGGGAACATAATTTAGGTTTTCTACTTAGATCTGTATATCTCAGATTATCATTCCTTCATTCCACATTAACTCTACCTTTTTAATTGCCTCCTGATTTTCATTCGGACACACCTTTGATTAAAATTTAAGATGTTGTTTACATGCAGTGGGTAGTAGACATCATTTACTTTAGAAGCCAACTTACTGTCAAATTAACTGATTTTCTTCAATTATTACATTGCTGATTAGGTAAGGTGCTACAATGGTTATTCTCCTTCTCCTGGCTGTGAATGTTCTTAGATGTGTGTGCTCATGTGTAATAATTGTCCAACCTTCATTTACCTTCTACGATGATTGCTAACAGATACAGTATTTGAAAAAAAATGGTTCTAGAGTTTTGTGATTATTAGACATGGTATTTCAGAAGCTGCATAATCTAATTTATGGAAAAGGTCAATGACACTGTTACTTAAAGAGTTCAATCTTGGCCCTCCCTGGTGGCGCAGCGGGTTAAAGCACAGCACTGAGAATCTAAAGTTGCTTCCTCATGAGTTCGATTCCCGCCTGCCCCGGAGGTGACCACAT